AGAAGATATAACGGAGTATTTTTGTCAATTTGAAATAACCGCAAAAGTAAATAAGTGGACATCACAAGAAAAAGCACTATCCCTTTTGCATGCACTAGATGGGAAAGCAAGAGGTGTATTTCACGAATTGCCAGATATTGACACAGTCACGTATAACGAGATTAAAGAGCTGTTGTTTAAACGATTTGGACCATCGAACTATTCAGAAACACACGAGTATAGTTTATCGCAGCTTAGATTACAAAAAGATCAGAACATTCGAGATGTGTCCCAGGAAGTTAACAGACTGTCAAGGCTATCCTATCCAGAGTTAAGTAATGCCATGAGAGAAAAGTTTGCAGTAAAACATTTAATTAATGCCATTGGTAATAAAGATATCATGTTTTATGTAAAGGACAAAGAACCAAGAACATTAGATGAAGTATGTCAACTATATGAAAAATATAAAGTTTTATCAGATGATGGCAAGAGAAGTCATTCGAGATCTTTAATTCAGATAGTTCAAGATAATGACGAGTATGATGATAAGAAATCCAATGTTGTTAAACAGGATGATCCAATTACAAATATGAATAACAAAATAGAAAAATTGTTCAGCATGATTGATGAGATTAAACGAGATAAGTTTGAAACCAGAAATAACAATCAGAGAAAAGATGTTAACAATAAGTTTGGAAATAATAATAATTTAATCAGAAACAACAGTACGATTGACCAAAGAAAAAGTAGTTATCAGCAAAATAACAGAAACTTCAGTCAAGTGAACACTAATAACTTCAGACAAAATGTTGGTAGTTTTAAAAATACGACGAGATTAAATCGAAACGTTCAAACAGTAAAAACACCCTCCAAGTGTAACCATGATAAGGAAGCATTAGTTCATTTAGAAGCTGTATTTAGAAACAAACATTTAAAATGCCTACTAGATAGTGGTGCAGATGTAAATCTTTGTCCAAAGAAATTTGTTGATGATTTGAAAATTTTGAAAAGTAACAAAGAATTGTATGCAGTTAATAACATGGAGTTAATAGTAAACGGAACAATTACACTGCCATTAGAACTTAAGTATCAGAAGATTCTTACAACTTTCTATGTGTCACCAAACGTTGATCATATAATTTTAGGAAAGTTATGAAAAAAATACACAAAATATCACGCACAATGCCGCATATGAGTCAGCTTAAAATACTGCTTTTATTCATATAATATATTTGAAATATACAGTTCTTAATTCTTATACGGTTCTTAATTTTATATTTACTTATAAAAAATAATATGCACATTTTGTCTATGCATGTCTTGTCTTGGGTTCCACCAAGATATGCTTCCTTACACTGGGATTCAAAGCTAATGGTGAACCAGACAACACATGATTTAGCTGAACGGCTTGTTGTATCTGTCGGGAATAATGCCAGCAATAAACTACTTGGAGTTCCAGCATATCAGCTCGGAACAGACAAGCGGTGTGGCACCATCATTGCTAGTACCACTGTGTAATCACTGTATTCATGGGAATGTGCTGACACAGTAGGAAACATGACATTTGATACAACTGCTAGCAACACTGAACACTTGAGTGCTGCTTTATATATTTCCCTGCAGCAGAACCTTGGACGTGTTCCCTTCTATGGTCTGCCTGTCGTCACCATGTTGGTGAAGTTATCCTTACACAAGTTTTTGACGATTTACACATAGAGTATTCAGATCACCAGAATATAATGCTTCAGTAAATTAAAAAAAAAATTTAACAAAATTTCTCATGGAAGTGATGAAATCCTCAGTCTATTTGACTCAACCCCCTCTTGTTTCAGTGTTGCTGAAACTTTGTCTAACATACGCAATGGAAAGACAATGCAATTGAAAGTGCTATAACTACAGCAGAACATCAACGTGAGGACTACAAGGAATTCAGTGAATTGGGTTTGTTGTATCTCAATAAAAGTGAGAGAAACTTTCAATTTCGTCGACCTGGAGCAGTGCACATAGCCCGATGGATGTCCAAAATTCTATACTCCATCAAAATGGTCCTCTTTAACCAAAAATTCTAATATTTTACCATAAGTCTAATTTCATTAAATGGAACATGAAAATCATATAGCCGAAATATAAATAAAAAGTTGAAAATATTTAGGGGCGTTTAATGCACCATAAAATACATACACACATTGACACACATGCACACACACACACACACACACACACACACACACACATGCACACATACCCACATACACTCTCACGCAAACACAAACACACACACTCACTAGCACATACACCTACCCTCATATACAAATACATACATATATCGCCGAACCTGATCGAATTCACCAGATTGTTAACGACCCGGCAGATCCGACCAAGCCCAACATAATTCATATTCAAAAAACATACTGCCTGAATACACAGATACATATACAAATTCACAATGATTTAAATATGAGATAATCAGCCCATTGTTACATACTTTACTAAAATCATTTACAAATAGCATTTATGAAAACATGAAAACACGTATACACGTGAAATTTTATTGTTTGTTAACCAAAACATAAGAAATGTAAATAATGTTGATGAAGAAAGAGGTGACTATGATACACACAAACACACGCACACACCCAACACACACACACATATCAAATTAAAAACAAAATATTTTGCTCAATCAAAATTTGCTCGATCGATGAATAGGATTACCATTGATTTGTATATTCAAGTCTGTAAATATACAAATCAATAGTTAGTATTCTTGGTTCAAATATTATGTATGTGCACTTGGTATAGTTTATTGCTAAATTATTAAAAGTAAACCAGTTGGCGATGAATGGAATTTCTTTAGTGCACCCAAAGCCAGTTCAAGTTTATTTAAGAAATAATTAAAATTGATGTCTGGCGTGCACTATAAGACAATCACATTTGTTGATTTAAAGTTAGAGAAAGAGTTTGATGCATAACATGTCTACATATTCATCATTAAATACACTATTAGCACAAACAGAACAATTAAAATCGCTTTTTACAAATATACCAACTCCACCACCCTGCCCAACATCTGTATTTTTATATATAAATTTATAATTTGGTAGGTGTATACAATCAGCCGTATTTCCATTCAACCAAGTTTCACTTATGACTATAATATTTAAAAGTTATAAAATTGATCAGATAACATGTTAAGTGATGATATTTTATTAAATAAGCTACCCCCATTTATAGGCAAAATCGATATATTGTTTTGAACTAAATATATTTGAAGTTTGATTAAACTATTGATAACAATTTTAGATGTAAAATACATATAATCTTTAAAAACATAGTTTAACTGATAGTTATCAGTTGTTGTCTCTATGATTGATGTTGTTTGTTGACTGGTAGTTTCCATCTTTCTTCTTGCTTGCTGACATGTTGTAATCGCACTCGCGTAAGAACGTATGCTTAGGCTATATGTCAGGGTTAACCAGTTTCTCACGTTCATTCAAAGGTATTATAATTTTGAAAGCCGTCGATTCCGATGTTTGACTTCTCTTTACCAACGGATCATCCGGATTTTTCTCACGGAGTATAGGAAAGCATTGTAGAAAAGCTATATTGTTTTGTTTCAAATGGTCTTCAATTACATTTCTGTTGCACGTACTGAAATTTCCGATCTAATAAATAATTTATTTTCTATTATTTTCGACGCTTTCAATGGACAGCTGACGCCGGTACCGTAGGTTTTCAGTTGTTTTGAAGCAGGTTTTGGGGATGCCAGTTGTGGAGAGGTTGACGATTTTTTCCGTTTTTTACTTCTCACCACTTGAAAACCATCGTCGCCGACAATTTCATCACACGACTCACTTTGCGACGTGTAGCGTTTAGCGGTTCTGTCGGTCCAAGATTTTTTACCAATGTAGTTGTCAACGTTATCACCTGAAAGAATTCTTGCACTGCTTACACTTTCAATGCGCTGTAAACGACCTTTACCGTTATTGTTGTGTTGTTCACGTGTGTTACACACACGTTCGTCCATTATCGTCTCTATTATTCAATTGTTTAGCTAATTGTACAATCAATTGTTTATTTTTCTTTATTTTATAATTTTCATTAACATTTTTGCTATTATCTTTCGCTAGTCTTAAAGGTATTCGGTATATATTATATATTGCAAATGTAGGCAACAGGTCTACCAAATTATTGTCAAAACAAAGTTTAATAGGTTCCATAAGTTCACTGACTTTATCATATTTAACAGTACCACAAGCCGTTAATTAAAGTTTATCGTTTTTTAAACTTTCTATTTTAGTTATTAAAATTTTTTTACCATTGATTATTTCATCATTAGCGTAGAATTCTACCACTTTCAATTTAAAACACTCGTCATTTATATTTTCTTTATTATTCAACAAAAACCGTAAAATTTCAGCAATACAAACACGTCTAGCCGCTAAGTTACAGCCAAGAATAGCATCACCACCATCATCATTATCATCATCACCACCATCATTATCACCACCACCATTATTATCATCGCCATCATCATTATCATTACCACCATCATCATTATCATCGTGGTTGAACATCGTCACTACCATCACTTCCAGGTGACCCATATTATCGGAACGTGGGATTGGTCACCCTGGAGGACGTCATCGAGGAAATCATCCAATCAGAGATATACGATGAGTTCGATACTGTCAGTTAGTACCGGGACGCTCTTTGTTTGTTTGCTTGTTTGCTTATATTTTTTGGCAGGGGCGACAAAATGGCGTGGTGATGGTGGTAGTGGTGAGTGGCTGTGGTGGTGGTGAGTGGCTGTGGTGGTTGTGAGTGGCTGTGGTGGCTGTGAGTGACTGTGAGTGGCTGCGTTCGATCGCAAATAGATTTCGTCTGTTGCGAGCGCGCACTTGTAGGATGCGCTGTCACTGCATGACAGCTCTGCGGAAATGGCCGCCACTGCGTGATGCGTTACACAGATGAGACATCACCTCTATTGTTGTTGTTGTTGCTGTTGTTGTTGTTGTTGCTGTCATCATTATTCTGTTGGTTCGTTGGTGTTTGTTGCTTGACCGATTCAGCGGGTGCATATCGTCGCTTTTGTTTGTGGCCAACTATATTGGGTTGTACATTTGTGCACATCCAACTCAAACTCGTTATACAAAACTTGTACATCTAAAACTACCACAACCATCATCGTCATCGCCACCAGCGGACAACATCACCCACTTGCCCCGCAAGACCCACCAGAAGGACTACCGCGTCTTCAACAAGTCCACCAACCTCAACTACCCTCACCTCTCACCCCAACTCCGCATGGNCACCTTCCAGTTTCTAAGTGCCAGTAAGTCACATCTGTGATGTGGGAGTATGTGTGTGTGTGTATGGG